CAATGGACATTTAGCCTCTTTCCATGTATTGGCTATTGTAAATAGTGCTGCTATGAACATTGGGGTGCAGGTGTCATTTTGAAGTAGGGTTAAGAACCCTACTTCAAAGGAACCTTAACCCTACTTCAAAATATTTTACTTTTTAAACTACACATTTACCTTTATAGACCTTTGGTACATATGAAATTTTCTCACTTACAAGTTGCAAAAAATGAAATGGATTAAACACAGAATCTCTCTGCACCAATCTCTAATCGCCTCTGAAACAAACTTTCCTGTGACCACAAAACCTACCCTCAAGGACTACCTAAACTCCACAGATTTTACTTGTGATCTCTCTGATCAGACTGTTTTTTCCCTATTACTTAAACAATATAAAGGGGAAATGATTCTTCCACAAATAAGTGGTCTAGCCATCTGGATTTGGGGCCCCAAGTAGGTTATACATCTGGCCTGCACATGGAAATGCAAAAGCCCAGAAGGAAAAAAATAAGTGCAAAAAACCAGAACTCTCTCTTCTTAATGGGTTACGCCTCAGATTCCAGGTCTGTAGCAAATAGGCATTAGGTGAGATTTGCTATTTACCTGTCTTCATGGGGACCTAAACTTGGTTGCACCTGGCCCTCAGTGACCTTAGTATCATCTCTGCTTGCTCAGCCCTGGCCTGGGAGGGAAGGCCAGGGTGCCCGGGGTATCACCACCAAGACTGCAAAGGTAGCAGATCGGAGTCAGTACAGCTAGGCTGTAGTTTCAAGTTCTCAAAAGGCCGAGGCTGAATCGGAGGAAATACTTTTGTCTGCGTGTCTAGGAGAGCTATCAGGGACACCGCATCACCTACCAACTTTACCCAAGACGTTTATTCCTTGTGACCACAGTCTTGCTTTTGTGTCTTCCTCATGGCCATCCTACACCTGGACTCGTGTTCCCTTTGTGGAGAGTGTGCACAGGGACAAGGTGAGCCAGGGAGTGGTCCAAGAGAAGAATAAGTCAACTTTAGAGCAAGAACTTGCCACACATTGTGTAACTGAGCAGGACCCTACTGTCATCAGTGACCATCTGATATCTGTAATAGTGTTTTAACTGTTTAATTGTGCAGTGGTTTAAAGAGTTTTCTCATGCACTTGCTGACGAGGGTTAAGCTCGGGAGAAGGGAGGCTTGGATGGTCCCCCCAAGCCCCTCATGATGCTGCATGCAGGATCACGCTCAGTGGCCTGCTCGTGTCCCCAGGGCCCTGCTTCTGACTCCAGGGCCTTCCTCTTGACCCTGACCCCACAGAAACAACAGTTGGGTGTTTTGTGCATCTTGTACTTCATAACTCATCCCAACTGCACATGTCTGCAGTTGTTTTTGGCCCCTTGTGGATTCCTTGTATCCTGCTGTTTGAGCTGCAGGCCTCAGCCTGCAGCAAGTGGTCCCAGTCCTCAGCCTGCCTAAAATGCTAGAAGCATTTATCAACCTGACTTTAAGTTGCACAAGTTTTTCTCTAGAGCTCTTTTCCAGAAACCCGCTTCCTAAGCACCTTTTGTTCTAGGCACAAGAATATTAGAAGAGTCCCAAAGCCAGAGGTGACCTTCGCACCCACCAGAAGGAAGGCATCTACAAAAACAAGAACAACTTTGCAATAATTTGTTGCTCTGTATGCAATCTCTATGGAAACTAGCTCCACCCCTACAACTACAGAACTATTACTATGAAACCCCCTGTCTTCTCTCCCCAGCAGGCTCACAGTCTTAGAGACATTAGCCCACTGTGACCTCCTTTGCCTGGCAAAGAAATAAAGCTGCCTTTTCTACTTCATCCAAAAGTCTGTCCGTAAGTCTCAATTAGTTAAGCAGGGTACGGAGGCCGTGTTTCAGCAACAATTGTACTGGGGTTAATGCCCCCCAGTAGCCTCCTGGACCAGTCACAGAAAACTGTTAGAAATGGACTTTGTCAGTTTCCTGTCCCATTCTCTGTTATCTCCTTCCATAATACTTCTTTAAAAATTTCAGATATAGGGGGGAGGGTATAGCTCAAGTGGTAGAGTGTATGCTTAGCATGCACAAGGGCCTGAGTTCGATACCCAGTACATCCTCCAAAAATATATAAACCTAATTTACCTCCCCCTCTGCCAAAAATAAAAAAAAAATTTCAGATATATATTAAAATTGAAGACAGTCTTTAATCTTTAGAAAAAAAAAGGTTTATGAGCTCACAAGTGTGGACATATTTCTTAAACAAGGTACAGAAAGCATAAATCAGAAAGAACAGAACTGAGAGATTTGCCAGCATCAAATTTTAAATCTTTGCATTTAAAAAAAAAAAGACACCATGAACAATGTAAAACGCCAAATGACAGACAGGGAGAAAATATTTGCAAAGTTGATTTAAAAAAAATAGTGCCCAGAATATATTAAGAAATTGCTCAGATCAATAAGAAAAAGATCAATAAATAGCTAGAAAGGCTGGCAAAGGAATGAATCATCATTATTGTAGAAGAAATCAGAATGACCAATAACAGGGAACATGCACTCAGCCTCACCCGTGGCCAGGGAAAGTTGCTGAATGAGATAACTTGAGCACTCAGCAGGTTGGCAAGCATTAAAATTCAAACAGCAGGAGGTGAGGGTGTGAAGAAGTGAGGATACTCACGAACATCCAGCCACTCGGCCGATGAGTGTGTGGTGAGCTGTGGCGGGGTGGCAAGCACGCTTCTGGGTACTAGGTGTCCACAGGGACAAGCCGTTAATAACATAAGGAACACCAAGCAGGGAAAGACTTGAGGGAGAGAGCATGACGTCAGCCACAGGCGTCGGTATCTGGGGTAACTGGTCAGAATTCCAAGCTCAAGTGCTGAGTAGGTGGTCGCACCCCTCCAAGTCTGAACTGCAAAGAGGCCTGGAGTGGACGTAAATTTGGGGATTGTGCTGGTCAAGTTCTTACATCCAAGCAACAGAAAGAAAATCTAACTAATTTAATCAGGAAGGAATTCTTTTCCAGAATTTAGAGGTGTCACCAGGAATGCAAGAGGGCTCTAGAAGGAGCCACACACCCTGAAGCAGCAGAGCCATCCAAGAGGACAGCACCGCAAGCTCCCTGAAACCCAGAGGTGGTCCTTCTCCACTGGGTCCTGCTGATTCTGGGCACGGCAGTGCTGCTGGGGTTACTGCCCCTGCCACTCCTGGAATTTGCCATAACAAGCATCATGTTTGTGCTCACTAGAATGGACTCTGTCCAGGCTCCGATTTTAGGTCACAATGTGTGAATTAAAAGTGACAGCTCCTTGGTCATGGCGGCCACACTTAGGCTGTAGGGGAGTCTGCAGAAACAAATATTTAGCATTTTAAATCTGTATAGAAGAGGAGATTTCCACCTCAAAGGTGGTGGATTCCAGGAACACAGGAAGATTGCACAGGAGCTGGGCAGCAAAAAGTGTGACAACAAAATGCCCACCTGTAAGATAATCCCTGTGCTAAAGGTAACTGCATCACTGGACTTGGATAAAATTAGCGATGGGGAGAAGACCAGGAGGTTCAGGACTAAAGTTTAGGGCTAACCTTAGGAAACCCCAACTATAGTTGCTACATGGAGGATTGATGTGTGGACAAAAATTACGAGGGGCCCCTGAATGCCCAGAACCAAACCAGCAGGGCAAGGTATGCTGAGCACAGTGGGAGAGGGCGCATCACAGAGCAGGAGATGCCACTGAGTCAAGACAGCCGAGTGCAGGGACAGAAGTCCCTCATGTCTCATGATTTGTCTCAAAAGTCCAGTCACAGTCCCACTGAATACACTATAACTACAGTACTTCCCCTTTCTTCCTCATCGGGTCCCCTAAGCACAATGTCACCTCTGCAAAGGACAAGGTGACATTCTGTGGGATATTAAGAAGTCCAGTTTCTCTGCAAGGCTTTGCACAGAGCTGGACAGCTGACAGGTGCCTGCTCCTTGCACACTGCCACGGAGACAAAGCGCTTTCTAGATGGCAGCTGAATCCCAGATTGTTCCACATTCAGTTGCTTTCAGTTGTTCCACAATAACACAAAGGCAGTTGCCATCAGAACCAGAGCCTGATTATTATGAAACCACTGTGATTTCTCCAAGATCCAGCCACCTTCTTTACAGGTTAAACAGGCAAATTTAAGTGGGGGTGTGATCTCATATCCCAAGACCTTCTTCCCTTCAGGGGTGGGAAGTAATGTTGGGTTAACTCAGTAAAGAAGTTACCCCCGGCTCACCCAGCCCTAAAGCCCTCACTCTCCATGAGCCCCAGCGGGTGGCTGGGGATGTCTTTTCAGTCACACATTCAGGAACAGGGCAGAACCACAGTGTGTCTGCCGACCCTCTGGGCCCACTGTGAGAACTCAGGCCACAACCCCCAGAAGCCCCTACTTTAAGCCACAGAAACAAGGCTGCTTTGAAGGTCCAGGTGTGTGATAACTCAGAATCCAGTATCTAGCAAGTCCTGAAAAGAGAAATCTCTTTTTTTCTCCAGGGCACAATCTCCTTAGCAAACGGTCTCCGTTGCTTTAGGGAAGACTTGGGAGAAGACTGCAGAATGCGCACGAAGCAATGTTCCAGGGAACTCCTTTAAGGGGCTCTGGGCCCCTCCTCCTCTGACATCTCAGGGCTGTGACTGCCTCTGACAGACCGAGAGGCCACGGCTCCCCACTGTAGTCATTCCAAGTCAGGTAGACTGGAGATGGCCACACACCTTTGGGCAGTCCTCCACCTTGAAGGGCAGGCTCCGCTTCCTTTCCCGTGGGAACTGGCCCGCCTGGTGAGCGCTTGACTAAAGAAGACAGCAGAGGGGGCTCCACGTCAGGTTCTGAGCCTAGGTCTTCAGACGCTGGCAGCTCCCACTTCCTGCTTTTTGGATTTGTTCTGGGGGAGGCCAGCGGCCATACAAAAAGGACAAGTACCCTGGGGTCCCCATGCTGAGAGGAAGCCCAGACTAGCCATGCGGAGGGACTGTGTGCGGGAGGCATGGCGGCTGCCCCAGCTGTTCCGCCCATCCCAACCTTGTAGCAGACACGTGAGGGAAGCAGCAGATGGCCCCAGCCCCGGTGTGACTGCAGCTCCCGGAGAGACCTCAAGCAAGAGCACCACATTCATGCCCCTCAGGATGGCTACTATCGAAAGAAGGAAAGAAAGAAAGAAAGAAAGAAA